CTTGTGTATGATACGCGAACTCCCTAGAATTCCAGAAACCCTGTGGCTAATTAATTGAGTCGAGCCGGCAAGGGTTTGGTCGATTAGGTAATGAACCCTGGGTCTCTTGTTTTGTCGAGTGGAGTGTTATCTCCTCGACTAATTGGTATACTCGAGTATTGCCACCCGTGTTTATTGAGGATTTTGGGCCCAGTAGGGGGTTTGAATGGCGGACGGAGATTGTAGTTAAGTGGTGCTCTACTGGACTGGTTACTCAACTTGAAAGTTGATGGAGTGTCAACTACTACTTGATCAAGTTCTGGTGAAGCAACGGGAATTTGGCTCTTGAGAGCCATCCGTATCCTTATACTTTGAAATGATTATTACTTGTCGTGCTATTGTTTCCTTTTAAAAACTTTTACTCTCGCTTATTTTAAGAGTTCAAGTTTTACATATGGCCAACTTGTTACTTGGGTCCAATTCTTGACTTGTTATGCTCACTACTTTGCTATTTTGATACTTGCACTTTTAAATACTGGTCAACTTGCTATTTGGAACCTCACTAAGCTTTAACTCACTCTATTCCGTTAAATTTGTTTTCCTTACAGGGGGTACGAGCGAGGGCGTGAGACTGGTACAGGCTAGCATAGTCTAGTTTTTAAATTTTTGTGATTGTACTCGCGCTAGTGCTCGGTTAGGGTTGAATGTATCTGGAACTCAAATCTTTTGTTACATTTGGGATTGTATGAATGTTTGGAATAGAAAGGAATGTACTTGTGTGTTCCAAGCTTGGGAACCGTTATTTCATTTACTCTTGAGGTTGTAAACTATTTTATTTGAAGTGAATGAACGAGTCCTGCCGAGAGCTGGGCAGGTGGTCCGCCGAACCCTGGGGTATGCCTTAGGGGGATGTGGGGTCGTCACAGAATAGATGTATGTTGTTGGTTATCACTTGTGGTTGGATTGGAGGTTTGTTGGCTTGTGAATCCAAGTTGTACTTGGATGGGAAAACGGATAAATACAAAGGGCATGCTGCCCAACTTTTTGCTCGAAGGATAAGCGAGTAAAGTTGAAACTTGAGCGACGATTTGAGGTCGAAATGAACTTGAATTGTCTATGGTAGTCAAGTTACCGTTAGTAGAGATACATAAGTTGAATTTTTTGCCGAAACTTGTACCCTATAAGAAGTAAAAGTAACGACCCTAAAAAATATGATTTTCTCGATTTTTCATACCAAGAGAGAATTCAAAAGTTTTAATCGCTTCTTAATCGAAACTAAAAGAGCGAGCATGATTTTTCTGGAGTTGATAAGCCATATGACTACTATTTAAACAAGTTTCATTTACTTGATTTTCTTGAAGCGAAACTCTTATGTTTCGAACCCTAGTGGATTTTAAACTCTTAAATGATATTTTATCACATATTTGGACACCAACCAAGGAGTTGTACCCGAACGTAATTTTGACAAGTACTAAGTCTTTGGTGAGTGCTTCCAAATACATGATTGAACTTGATGCTTGATTTAAATTCTTTACCAACGTGATCGGATAAGATTTGCTTGGTTTTGTTGGGCAAGGGTGTACTTTATCGTACTTGACCTAATGTGATATATACTTGTTTATTTGTTGCAATTGATTTGATATACTTGTGCATGATGTGCGCACTCTCTGGGATTCCAGAAACCCTGTAGCTAGTTATTCGAGTCGAGTCGGCAAGGGTTTGGTCGATTAGATAACGAACCCTGGGTTTCTTGTTTTATTGAGTGGAGTGTTATCTCCTCGACTAATCGGTATACTCGAGTATTACCACTAGTGTTTATTTTAGGATTTCGGACCTGATAGGGGGGTTTGAATGGTGGACGGAGATTGTAGTTAAGTGGTGCTCTACTGGACCGGTTACTTTACTTGAAAGTTGACGGATTGTCAACTATTACTTGATCAAGCTCTGGTGAAGCAAAGGGAATTTGGATCTTGAGAACCATCCGTATCCTTATACTTTGAAATGATTATTACTTGTAGTGTTATTGTTTCTTTTTAAAAACTTTACATTCGGTCATTTTGAGATTTGCTATTTGAAATGTTATTGCTCACTTTTATAAACTTTTATGCTCGCTACTTTGATATTGCAAGTCTTACATAATGACCAACTTGCTATTTGGGTCTGCATGATATTTTGGAATCTCACTGAGTTTTAGCTTACTCTATTCCGTTACATTTGTTTTCCTTACAGGGGTTACGAGCGAGGGCGTGAGGCTGGGACAGGCTAGCATAGTCTAGTTTTTGAATTTCTGCGATTATACTCGCGCTAGTGCTCGATTAGGGGTGAATGTATCTGAAATATTAAATATTTTGAGATATTTGGGAATATATAAGCCTTGGAGCTTAACTTAAACATCAATGTACATTTGAAGTTTGGAACTATAGTTGCCTTTACTTTTGAAGTTATAAAGTGAGCGAGTCCTGGCGAGAGTTGGGCAAACGGTCCCCTAAACCCTGGGGTACGCTCTAGGGGGAGGTGGGGTCGTCACAGATGGTTTCAGAGCTCTTATCGAGCTCATACCAGGAGAGGGTTCTCGGACTGTGGGGATTGGCTTGTTAAGTGTGGAACAAATGTCTATTGTTGGGGACATTAGATATGTATATTGGGTATGTGAGAACCCTCACTTTAAAACACAATTTTTCCAAATTACTTGCCTTACCCTAGGATTTAAATCACTTATTATATGCCCTTGCATTATATTCTACATGTGTTACAACATTTTCCATGCATTACATTTCATTTCCTTTTACTTGAAGTAAAACATTTTCTTGAGTTGGTTTTTAAATAATTCACCAATTACATTTTACCAAGTGGCTTTTATTTGTGGTAGAGACTTTATATGAGAGATTAGAGGTGTTAAATAGGCATTGGTACATTTGGAAGGGTTGAAACATCATCAGTCAAAGAATTAAGAGAAGTTTTGGACAAGAAGTGGGCTATGTGGCAAAACCATAGCCAAGTATTTTGTTAGACCAAAGGTTAGAAGACAATTTAAACTAGACTTGGCCTTTTTTCTTTTCTTATTGTGGCCGGCCACCTTGAAGCTTGCCAAGGGAGAGAGAGAACTCCATTTTCTTACTTTCTAACCCTAGTTGATCAAGAGCAAAAACCCAAAGAGAAGGATCTTGAGTTAGTTGAGAAACTTTCCTCCAACCCTAGTGTTTGTTTCAAGCTTGAAGCTTTCATTTTGGTGGATTGTTTTGGTGGTTCAAGCTTCTTACAAGAGAGATATGTAATCTTTAAATTATAGTTTTATGGTGTTATATCATGTACTTTAAGTTTTAAAGGCAAACTACAAGTTGTTTTGGAAGAGATTTGAGTTTAATCTCTTGAATTAAACAAGTACATCATTAACGATTAAAACTAGTTATCGGAAATCAAAGAATTTATTTTAAAGTAATAGAATTAATCTAACTCAAGAAATATTAATTTAGTATAGCAAAACCGAATAATTTAATATTGGCACAATTATATTATTTATTACATAGAAATTATCTTTACACTTTTATTTCAAAACACTTAGTTACAATACTAGAATTCAAAGTAATTAATGATTAGATCAATGAAATAGTTTACCATCGAAATATGAAGTTAATGTAACAAAACTAAGAAGTTTAGTAGTTTAGCACAATTCTTTTATTTTGCACATAACGTTTAATTCTACAAACTTATTTAAAAACAATTGGACTTCGTGCTAAAATTTATTAAAGAATTAAAATGCAAATAAAATATGCACTGATATTTATATGTCTATTTTCAGGGTTCTCACATCCTCCCCTCCTAAAAATGAATTTTGTCCTCAAAATTCTTACTTTCTCAAGAGATAGGTCGGTTTACTTTTTTTTTTTTTTTTCATAGTTCTATACACCACTTTGGTTACCAAAATTTCACTCAGGTTAGTAATTATTTAATTTCCGGGACTAATAATTATTACAGCGTTTACAAAAATTAAACACGTAATCATCAAATTATATACTCACAATATAAGTCACATTGCATACCAAATTCATACAACTTCAAAAGCTAGATAATTCACGAATACATTCAATATTTTCATACATAACTCAAACTTCAATCTTTATAAGCATGAAAGGAAACAATACAATAATACACAAATTATTATAACCACATAGCTAATGGCCTAACCCTTAGTTTAGATTCAACTTAACCTTCATTAGTTTAGTCTTGGACAATCCCACTGGATTCCCTTAGTAACACTAATCAAATTTCCTTAGTGAATTGTAGATCTACTACGTCTAATATCGAATCAAATAATATGATCATTACTTAAGTACATCAGTGGCTCTTAAGTGTCCTAAATGATCTCAAACATTTCATACATTGGCTTTTCTAGTATCCTAGCAACTAGTTATCTTTATCCTTTTGAACATTAGCCCCAAATAATCCTCCAATAAAACTTAAGGAGCCACAATGTCGTCGAGAACTCACCTCACATGGCAAATTCACCTCAAAAGCAGAATTGGCACTAATCTTCAAGGTCTCACTATTGGCTCTTCCCCTTTTAACTTTCAAAAGCTAAACTTGTTGCTTTCGGTTCTACTTTTCCAAACTTAATCATGATTTCTAGTCACATCATAATACGATATACTGAATTCTTTTCAATTGCCAATACTCCATTAAATGTAATATTTGGTACTCGGGTACAAGAATCCGAAAATAAGATGATTCACAACTCAGACTGGCCAGTCCCATGCATGAATCACCTACATTTGAGATTCCTACCCAACATACATATCTAATATCCCCAACTATAGACTTTTGTTCCACACTTAACAAGCCAATTCCCACAGTCCGAGAACCTTTTCCCGGTTTGAGCTCGATAAGAGCTCTGATACCACCTGTGACGACCCCACTTTCCCCTAAGGCGAACCAGAGGGTTGGCGGGCCGTCTGCCTAGCTCTCGCTACGACTCACACAAGCAATCTAGCCCAAATCCTTCCGAAGAATAAACTAAATCTTCATTTAACTTCAAAGATAACAACATTTATAAGATAGCCAATCGACGGCTCTTAAACACTTCGTGCGTTACTTACAAGGATTAAAGCCATACCACACAAATACGTTCATACAAGCCGGATACCAGACTTAGGGTTACACTTTTCCAGCTTCAAGTGGCAACCAAAAATAAAAGGTACAGTGCTTAACGTAGAATTCATTACAAATCGAAATTTAAATTCAAGTTGTTCAAGTACATTCATAGGAAATATAAGCTGCTCAAATGCTTTCAAACTTCCCATCCTGTAAGGAAAACAAATAAACATGGAGTGAGCTAAAGCTCAGTGGTGCCCAGACATGCAATCATATAAACGAATAGCAAATAATAGCTTCAAAATTATATTCACAAGTAGGAAAGCGTATAACAGCACAGGGTAGGATACAGGGCTCTCAGGAGCCATTTTCCTCGCTCGATCAAAATTACCCGCAGTTGACCCTCCATCAACTTTCACTATCTAAAGTCCATGTAGATTCATTATTATTATTATTATTATTATTTTTATAGACTAGTCGAGGGATTCACCCAACGACGTTGCGTCCAGCATGAGGTTAGTATAGACTAGTCGAGGGATTCACCCAGCGACGTGGCGTCCAGCATGAGGTTATTATAGACTAGTCGAGGAATTCACCCAACGAGGTTATTATAGACTAGTCGAGGAATTCACCCAACGACGTGGCGTCCAGCATGAGGTTATTATAGACTAGTCGAGGAATTCATCCAACGACGTGGCGTCCAGCATGTAGATAGTGCAAGCAGGATATTCACGAAAATATTTCAAGCAAGCCACCACTCGAAAGAGCTAGTGCGGTAAAGTACACACTGCCCACTTCGATGGATCAGAAAACCATTTTTCCAATTGTCACATATCAAGTCAAGAAAGCACTTTAATCAAGTAGGCATAGAACAAGCAGGGACACTCACCAAGAGTGGAGTTCAGATATCAAGTTGGGGATCGAATTCTGCGTCCTCGAAAAACCCTAAAACCAAAATTTTGAAACTATAAGTTTCTACTTAGTTTTTAAGCTTATAGTCATTGAGGTATATTTAATATACTACTAGTTCACTTTCCCTTAGAAAAATCAAGAGTTCCCTAGGTTAAAACTTGACAAAAGTAGAAGAGATATTTCTTATAGTTTTTCTTGAGGTATTTTTCTAAAAAAAAAATATAACTAGTATTATTTTCTTGAAATAAGTCGACAACCTCTCAATATCAATGTTAGAAAGTTACTTTGAACATTTCTCTAAAGTTACGGCTTTTGCAAAAATTATCCTTAAAAACTATTTTTCCTAAAATAGGGTTTCTTGCCGAGCAAGTTTCCCAGGCTTTTCGCTAAATTATTAAAACTCGTATTTCGGAACTTTTCCTATAGTTAACTATCCAATTACAAAGCTTAAAGAAAGAAAAGGAATTAAAATACGACTTAGTGTTTCCAAAAGCTATAGAACTTATTTACTATAGCTATCAAGGCTAGTTTGAGCTAAAGGAAATTATCGAGTTGGAAAGTCTTAGGCAAAACACTAGATATGGAGTTTTATAATATAATACTAGCTGGAAAAATATTTTTGATTGATTTGATCACCGTTACTCGATTTCTCAAGGTCGATACAACTTCCACCGCTCCGATTCCGTTTCGAAGTCATAACATGGATCAAAATATGGCAAAAATCACATAGCAAATTACTAGGGCTTCGTCAATCATTAGCCCTAGATTTCAACAAGTGCACCTCTGAATAAAATAAAATAGTCAACCAAGCCTTCATCAATCATTAGCACTTGGTTTCAGCAAACCCATCATAAACAATTAAAAATAAAAGTAAAGCCTCCAAGACATTCCAGCAATTAACTTTCGTCACCCTGTAGTACTTATAAAATCATTCAAATGGCCAAGGGCTTCATCAATCATTAGCCCTTGACAAAATCAATTACTCCCAACCACAATTTAATCAAGAATTTAAACCACAAGTAGGCTAAAATCTCAATCCAAAACCCAATTTCTATTTCACAAAGAAACAGGACATTCATGCAAAACAGTCCACTTTAAAAATTCACAGACAGTAGTACACATGGAGGAAAAATACGAAATTTCTACAGGACAAAGGCCTATGATTCTAGTTTCAAACGCCACTGACGGCGCCTTAAACGGATTTTCCTACACCAAGATATCAACATTTTATTGAGACTGGTCATGGAATATCCGAAAATCTGGAATTTCAATTTTTCACTTGTGAAAATTCCTTTTTCTCCTTTAACACCAAAATGTTTTTATTCAAACCATCTATACACCTCATATAGAACTTCAAAACAACATTTTCCAAGCATTTCCTTCCATCATGATTCAAGGAACATTTCAAAAGTCAAGTTAAGGTTCCAACTCACCCTTTGACGATCACATAAGAAATTTCCAGCATGTAACCCAACATTTCTGGTTCCAACTTCAATTTAGCAAATATTTATTGCTAAACAACTTATACCACTTAAAACCTACAACTTCCCTGTATCACTAAACCATTTTAATCCAAGGAAAATCCAAAAATAGGTTAAAATTCCAAAAGAAAACAAATTTGAAATTTCCGTTCACACCTCACGGCTATCCAGAAACTTTCCAGCAACTATGTGTTCAAAAATCCAACTTTTCCTTGGTTAAAATCTGGTTTTAAACACCCAAATTAATCATGCAAAAACTCGTCTAGCTATTTAATAATTCCAGTTCAAAATTTAACTCAACCAACAGCTGCAAAATTCAAGCTAAAGTTCACGGCAGCTCCTATGCTAGCACATATCAGAAATTCTTTTCTTAAACATCTCATCCGTAGGCACAATTCAACATGCAGGATCTAAATCTTCAAGTCTTCACTCAGCTAAAGGCACTTAAGTGTTTAGATGCCACAGAAAAACACAAATGGAGCTGCAATAATCAAGGCAGGCTCTCGACTAAAGCATTTCATCTCAAAACAAAATTTTCCACAGCTTTGGTTTCATCATCTGATTACTCAAGTTAACACATGCAAGGTCACGGCTGGCATAACTACCTCTGATCATCCATTTTTAGTCCAGAAAATTTACCTCAAAGCAATCTAAGATCACACACGAAAATCTGAAAAATTTCTGCTCCCTCTCTCTCTCGGCTTCACGTGCAGGTCGAGTTCCAGTTTGGGTTGTCTTGGCTGAGCAGATGGTGGAGCTGGGGTGGTTGTTACGGCTGGAAAACTGGGTGCAGCCGATGGAAGTGGAAGCTGGATGAAGGATTCACTCACGGCTTCCCTTATGTCCCTCGACCTTACGGACAGCAGCAGGAAAGAAAAATTGTAGAAGCTCTTGGATGGCTGGTGCGAAGTGAAGAGAGTGAAGTGAAGTGCGGTGGTGTGGAGTGTAGAGGTGAAGAGAAAGAATGAAGGTGGAGTCGCGGTTTGTGGAGAGGAGTGGTTTACGGTTGAGTGTGAAGTTGGTAGTGAATTTTGATTGGTTGAATGGTGCGGTGCTGAAGCTTCTGTCCGAGGAGTTGCTTGTGCAGAGAAAGAATTAACACTTGCGGTTTGTGTCAGTGAAACCGAAAGAATGGTATTGTGTCTTGTGGTTGTGGAATGAAATGTGAAATATAGTGATTGATAGGGTGGTTTTATGGTGCCGCTGTTTATAAGAATGGTTTGCGTGTAAGAGTGGTTTGCGTACAGATTTGGTAATAGCTGCGTGATTTGATTTGCAGTCAGACGTCTTGTTTGGTTTGCATGGAGAGTAAGGTAAGGTTATTTTAGTCTTTTCACTTCGCTCCTTAATCTCAACTTAATTTCTGAATTCCGACTTAATTCTAAAAATTATCCCCAAGTGCGATTTGAACGCCTAATTATACCCTAATATACCTAAACCATTTTTTTATCGAATAATTATCGATTAAACTTGAATATTAAGGTTCCTAGTAATTCTTATATTATTTAGCGATTAAATTAATTATTAGAATTTCCAATTATTATTTCTCAAGAAATAGGGTTAGTCTAACTCGAAATTTATTGATTTAGTAATATAAAGTCAAGTGAAATAATAATTAAATCCAAGGTGTCAATTTGCACATAAAAGTATTTTTACGCACTTATTGCGAAAACAAAGAAAGATAAGGATATATTTATCGAATTTTCACGCATTAAGTATGTTTAGTATATTAGAATCATATTTATCTAAAATTCATTGGTTTTCATCTTAACGCGGAAATTCCTATTAACATTTAACATTATTAACGATTAAAACTAGTTATCGGAAATCAAAGAATTTATTTTAAAGTAATAGAATTAATCTAACTCAAGAAATATTAATTTAGTATAGCGAAACCGAATAATTTAATATTGGCACAATTATATTATTTATTACATAGAAATTATCTTTACACTTTTATTTCAAAACACTTAGTTACAATACTAGAATTCAAAGTAATTAATGATTAGATCAATGAAATAGTTTACCATCGAAATATGAAGTTAATGTAACAAAACTAAGAAGTTTAGTAGTTTAGCACAATTCTTTTATTTTGCACATAACGTTTAATTCTACAAACTTATTTAAAAACAATTGGACTTCGTGCTAAAATTTATTAAAGAATTAAAATGCAAATAAAATATGCACTGATATTTATATGTCTATTTTCAGGGTTCTCACAAAGAGGGCCATGAAAGTGAGGAATAGAGCGGAGTCCATTCTGAATATTTGTGATGACCTATTGGGAGACGTGAATGATGAGGCTTCCCACGTCGGAGGCGAGGCAGGAGCTGAACTTGCCCAGGACGGGAGGTCAGCTAGTCCTGCTGCGGACTATGCCTTCACTATTAGGTTAGGATTGTGGATGATTTTGTCATTTGTACATAGAAAGGTTAGGGGATATGGTGACTCGGTGGTTGTACAGCTTTCTTTTGACTACTTGCACTAGGTTTTTGCTTGATATGACTGTACGACTATATTTGTACTTTTGAGGCTCGTACTTGATACTTTTGGTCATGTTATCTTGTAAATGACTGCTATGAGCCTTTGAATGTATAATACTGTGACTTTTGACTGTTGACTGTTGACTTTTGACTTTATTTCGAATTGGCATTTAACTGTTTTGTATTTTCCCTTACTTATCGTGATTTCTACTTCCTTTTCTTTGACTTTTGGCTTCAATAAATATCTATTGCATACCCAAAACTTGCTTACCTATTAGTTATGATACTTGAACCCTAGCCCAGTGAGTGATAATGGAAGGTAGATGACTACGTGGTCGAGGCCGTGGGCGTGAACCCAGGTAGACCCAAGACCAAGAGGAGGAACAAGGGTTTGTAGCAAACCAGAACCAAGGACCTAGAAATGAAAGAGGGGACCAGGTTGCTACAGCTATCAATCGAATGACTGATTTACTGGCCCATTTGGTTGACCAGCAAGGTCAAGTACCTGGTAACCAGCAAAGGGACCCTGAGGTAGGCGAATATAAGGCCCTGGAACGATTCCAAAAGTTTGCTCCTTCAAACTTTCTTGGGGGACCCGATCTGGAAGTGGCCGAGAACTGGTTTGAGCGAATGGAGGATATATTCGTTGCGTTACATTACACTGAGGAGAGGCAAGTAACTTTTACCATTTTCCAGTTAGAAGGTGCTGCTCGTTCCTGGTGGAACGTAGTAAGGGCCAAGTGGGACAGGGAGCAAACCCTACGTACTTGGTTGAACTTCACTAGGGAGTTTAACGAGATGTTCCTTCCGCCCTTGATCCAAGAGAAAAGAGAGGACGAATTTATCAAACTGCGCCAAGGCACTTCAAGTGTGGCGGAATATGAGACCCAGTTCACCCGACTCTTTAAGTTTGCTCCGGAATTGGTAGTTAATGCGCAAAAGCGCATAAGACGGTTTATACAAGGTTTGAATGTGAAAATTCAAAAGGACTTAGCCGCTGCTCAAATTGATACATTTAAAGATGCTCTTGACAAAGCTCAACGAGTGGAGCAGGCCCGA